CCATGGCAGTAGATTACTGTCCTGGTCTAAAGACTCAGAAAACAAACAACCCAAACTCAGAAGTTTAACTCATTTGCTTTACTTCACACAGTATATAAGTATGGGCTCAGAAAGAGAATACTCTTTCACTTGAAAAGATTTCTATTATGTAGTTTAAAATGCTGCATAAAATGTAACATTAAAGCAGCTGTATATGTAATATACAAGGAATTCACTTAGAATGATAATTAAGGATAAGCCCAAATAGCTCAGCTACATAATTGTCTTCTGCTTTGAATGTAGATCTACGTATTTATTTGAATATATGAGTAAGATTATTTGACATAAGGTAGCTCAGAAGAAAGACATAATTCCACTGATGAAATATGTTTTTAAAAAATTACTCTCAAATTAGATACTTTTCAAAGAACAATAAGCTAGAGATAAAACTAAAATACAAAGCATACATCCACACAAAACCTTTTACACAACTGTTCATGTTAGCATTATTTATAACAGCCAAAAAGTGGTAACGACCCAAATATCAAGGGATAAATGGATAAACAATACAGTGAAATATTATTTGACAATAAAAAGGTATGTAGTGCTGTCACATGACATACATGTGTGAACGTTAAAAACATTATGCTAGATAAACCAAAGGAAGGCTTAAACTTTACTTGTATGATGACCATTTGTATACCTAACATTTGTTACAAATGTTAGGTATACAAATGTACCCCACATCTTTTAAAACAAAAATACAATAAAAAAAAATGCTAGGTAAAAGAAGTCAACCACAAAAGACCACATATTATCTAATTCAATTTATGTGAAATGTCCAGAATAGGCAAATATACAAAGATAGAAAGTACATTAGAGGCTGCTTAGGGCTAGAAGTGAAGGGAACAAGAAAGAATGGGAAATGAAAGCTAATGGGTTTGAAGTTTCCTTTAAGGAAACAAAATGTCTAAAAGTGGTTTGTGAGTGTACAATGTTCAAATATAATAAACACTGAATTGTACACTTTAAATGAGTAAATTGTATAATATATGAATTAGATGGCAAAAACTCAGTTTAAAAAAGCCTAGAATAAAAAAAATATAATATTTCGAAATATATTTTATATATAGAAAACACAACTCTGGTGAATATTCAGTTTTGATGATTTGGTAATACTCAGTTATCAATTTGGTATGATTGGTAATGACAGCAGCTTATTTTGTATACTGCTTTACCTCATAGCAAAAATAAACTTTACACTACTCCATATAAATCAGTGAAATACAATGCTCCCAAAAATATGATAAGAGGCAGTGACGTCAGACAAAATGGTCCGACAGAAACACCACAAGACAGAGCACAAAGTGTAAAGATAAACTTCTAGAATTCTGGATAATATTCAAAGGTTTACAAGCAATTAAGTGAATCAGAATCTTAAAAATAACAGGAAACCACTTTACACCCATTAAAGTAGTTACTATCAAAAAAATTTAAAGTGTTAGTGAGGAAGAGGAATAATTGAAACCCCTGTGAACTGTTGAGTGGGAATGTAAAATGGTATAGCTGCTGTGGAAAACTGTATGACGGTTCCTCAAAAAGAACTGCCATATAATCCAGTAATTCCATTTCTAGCTATGTACACAAATGAATTGAAAGCAAAGAGACACCTGAACAATCAAGTTCATAGCAGTATTTTTCACAACAGCTAAAATGTGGAAGCAACCCAAGTACACTAATGGATAAATAGATAAGCAAGAGTATATACACATAAATAAAAATATTATTCAGCCTCAAAAGAGAAGAAAATTTTGACATATGCCGCAGCATGGATAAAACTTGAGGCACATTACACATTAAGTGAAAGAAGTCTGTCACAAAAAAGGCAAATACCTCATGATTCTACTTATATGAGGTACTTAGAATAGTCAAAATTGTACAGATAGAAAATAAATGGCTGACAGAGGTTGTGGAAGGGAAGAACAGGGAGTTATTGTTTAATGAGTGCAGCATTTCAGTTGTACAAGATGAAAATAATTCTACAGATGGATTGTGGTGATGGTTGCACAGCATTATAAACGTATTGTATACCATAGAATTGTGTGCACTTAATGGTTAAGATGGTAAAATTTATGTTACTTTTATTTTACTACAATAAAAAAGTTGGGAGAAAAACACTAGAAAACATTTCTAGTGTTGTGTATATATGTATTTCTGGCATTTTAACTAGTCCTTGCCCTACTTGCCTCCCCATCTAGGCAGGTAAGCTAGGCAGGTATCTTGGAGAGAGCAGTCACATTTTCAGTGTGACCCTGGTTGTAGGCTTAACAGAGAGCATTTCTTTTATCTTGGAGAGAGCAGTCACATTTTCAGTGTGACCCTGGTTGTAGGCTTAACAGAGAGCATTTCTTGAAAACACTGTTAAGGCAAATAAATAACCCAATGCTGTCTGTGACAAAACACTAAAGTTGAGGAAAACAAGATGTAGAATACCACCACGCATACCAACTTTCCATAATGGGAATTCCAGGAGGAACAGAAAGAGAAAAAGGGGAAGAATAGTTGAAAAAATAATGAAATTTCCTAAATGTGATGAAAGACACGAATCTACACATCCAAGCTGCTCAATGAACTCTAAGAAGGATAAACATCAAGAGACCTGCACTAAGACACATTATAATCAAACTATTGAAAGCCAAAGACAAAAAAGAGCCTTGAGAGTAGCAATGTGTCACTTACAAAAGATCCTCAATGAGTTTAACAGTTGATTCCTCATCAGAAACCATGGAGGCCAAAACAGTAGTGGGATGACTCATTTTAAATGCTGGAAAAACAAAACAAAACAAAACTACCAAACAAAAATTCTGCTCCAGCGAAATTATTCTTCAAAAATGAAGTACAAAATTAAGATATTCAGAGAGAAAAGCTATGGGAATCTGTTGCTAGTACACCTCCCCTACAGGAAATGTTAAAGGGAGTCCTTCAGGTAGAAATAAAAGGAAACAAGACAGTAATCTGAAACTTTATATAGAAATAAAAAATTGGCAAAGGCAACTACATAGGTAAACACAAAGGTCAGTATTATTATATTTTGAGTTTGTAACTTCTGTTTTCAAGTTAAACAACAAATGCACTAAAAAAAATTACACTTCCATCTTAATGAGCACACAATGTATAAACATGTAATCTGTGACAACAACATTAAGGGGAAAGGACAGACTGTATAGAAGCACAGTTTTTGTATACTGTTGAAGGTGAGCTGGTAATAAGCAATAGAGATTGCTGCAAGCTTTAAGGCTAATGATAAACCCCATGGTAACCACTAAGAAAAAGACTGAAACATACAAAGAAAAGTGAGAAAAGAATCAAATGGTACACAATGATGACAACAAAATAAATTAAACACAAAAGACAGTAATGGGGGAGTTAAGGAACAAAAATAAATTACATTTGGAAAATTAAAAAAAGCACAATTGGCAGAAGTAACTTCTTCTTTATCAGTAATGACTTTTAACGTAGGATTAAATTTGTCAGCTAAAAAGTGGAGAATGGCAGAATGGATAAAAGAAGCATGATCCTACTGTGTAATAGACTCACTTTAGATCCAAGTCACAAATAGGTTATAAGTAAAATAGTGGAAAAAGATATTTCATGCAAATAGAAATCAAAAGAGAGGTGGGATAACTATATTGATAGGGGACAAAATTGGCTACAAGTAAAAAAATTGTTACAAGGGGCAAATGAGGACAATATCACTGATAAAAGGTCAACCCACCAAGAAGATATAACAAATTTAAACATACATGTACTTATCACAAAGCCCTAAAATACATAAAGCAAAACCTGACAGAACAGAAGGGAGACAGTTCTATAATAATAGTTGAAATCTTCTGTACTTCACTTAAATAATGGACATAACAACTAGAAGAAGATCAATAAGGAAATAGAAAATATAAATCAATTAGATAAAGCAAATATGTATAGAACACTCTCCCCCAAAAGCATCACAATACTTATTTTCCTCAAGTATTCAGGGAGCATTCCCTAGGATGGATCATATGTTAGGCACAAAAGAAGTCTCAATCCGTCCATTTGTATGTATGTATGTATGTATGTATGTGTGTATGTATCAGCAAGGATGCAGAGAAACAGGAACCTTTATACATTGCTAGCAGGAATATAAAATGATACAGCTACTATGGAAAACAGTTTGATGGTTCCTCAAAAAGTTAACTATAGAATTATCATATGACCCAGAAATTTCACTGCCAGGTATACACCCAGAAGGACTGAAAATAGATATTCAAACAAATATGTATACATGAATTTTCATAGCAGTGCTATCCAATAACAGTTGAAAGATAAAGATAATCCAAATATCTACCAGTGGATGAGTGGATAAACAAAATAGAAATCAAAAGAGAGGTGGGATGACTATACTGATAAGGGACAAAATATTATTCAGTCACAAAAAGGAATTAATCATTGATACAGACTACAACATGGGTACACTTCAAAACATGCTACTTAAGAAGCCAGACATTAAAGGTCACGTATCATAGGATTCCATTTTTTTTAGTTTATCTTTTAGGATATAGTTAACATGTCTGTTTTGAAAAGGTAGCAGGAATCATATAAGTTTTGAGACAGAAGAACCATTCTACCTTCTCAGACTCTCCAAGCAAATGGGCACTTAAGCCAAAAGAGCTGGGGATCCCTATGGCATTTGTATAGCAAGTTATATAATTTCATTTATATGAAATATCCAGAACAGGCAAGTCTATACACACAGAAAACAGACTGGCATAATGCCAGGGGCTAGGGAGAGAGGGGAAAGAGGAGTGAATGCTTAAGAGATGTGAGGTTTTATTTTAGGGTGATGAAAATATTTTGAATTTAATATAGTTGGTAGTTCATAGGTTCATTGTAAACCTATGAAACACCACTTTAAATGGTCAATTTTGAGATGTGAATTTCACCTCAATGATAAAAAGAAGGTATGATAGCTTTTTTCTACTAACCCGATGAATAATTCCAGCAGAGTGAAGGTGCTTGATTCCGCACAGCATCTGATAGAGAAGATAGGACATTCTTTCATGATCTAGTTCCATCTGAATCACTTGGCAAAGATTTGCATCCATGAGCTCCATGACAATGTAACTTCATGGGTTAAAAAAAAAAAAAAGATAGCAGCTAAAGTATACAGCAAAAATCTAAGAAAAATGTACTAACACAACAAAATTTTAATTACCATACTTACACATCTTGAAATTCTTCTAGGGATTTCTGTGGTGTGAAAACATTCAAAAGACCAATTATCTGTGGTAAAAGCCAAGAAATATGAAAATTAGAAATTATTTCCAAATACTTTCATTGGGTACTACAAATGTATGGGTTAAAAATAATCCACTACTGGTTTAAAATCTTTCAAACTGTATGTTCTAAGCTCAAGTTATCTCTTTTATTTTAAATACTAAAACTTTATGGTCAGGAGTTTGGGGGGGTTGTAGTGGGGGAGATGAATAGGTAGAGGCACAGAGGATCTTTAACCTATTCAATTTACAAACAGCCAATTATTAAGTGCTCATATGACATAAACTTCTATATAGTTTGTTGGTAAATCTTAAATACCGTCTATCAGCTCCTTCCCAATTCAATTCAATATCGTCCCTTGGTTTTTCATACTACTGCTCTTGCCCAGTTTTCTTCACTCCCAGTTTATTCCTCTAGTTCATCCATATATATATATATCCTCTTTTTCACTGCCATCTTTAATCCTCCCCTTTTCTCTCTTTGCACAGGCATCTCAAAAATAATATAAAATTGGATTCACTTTCATTCATATTCAAACCCCTTACTTTTCCAGTGTGCCCTCTCTTTTACAAAAGATGGCTCAGAGTAACTTTTGACTCCTTTTTCTGTATCTGCACCATAATAAATATTCAAAAGAATGCTGTCCATTCTGCTGTCAGTCTAAACTTCAACTTTTTCCATTCTCTATGCTGTGAATCCTTGACTATACAGGTGGAAGATTTTAATATCTCATCTAGACTGTTCAGACCGTAATTACTTCTTCCTCTTTTTTTTTTTTTTTTTTTTTTGG